CGCACGCTGGTGACGCTGGCAAACGCTAGATCGATATCTATCCTTTCCTTGTCACTGCCGCTGTCGAACGCTGGAAATGCTGGCGTACGCTGCCGCAAAGTATGAACGCAGCCTAAGCGGGGAAGTAGAAGAGAAATAGGAGAGAAGGGTAAGAGGAGAAAAAGAAAGAAAAAGGACGAAGGTTTCATAGAAGGCAAATCTCCATACAGGTACAGCATCGTGGTGCGTGAAAGCGAATCGGCATAGACTTCCAGGAAATGAAACTACACATACGACCTCCTTTCTTCAGCAGCCAATACGACCCCACTGATGGAATCCTCCAGCACGCCATGGCATTGTGATGAACTTCTGTTAAATAAGACCGCTCCTCCCTCCGTTCATTCGGCGTTGTGACATCCTTTCTGTGTTGTGCCATACACCCGACTCCCACAGAGTTGTGAAGGTGTAACTTCCAGGTAAGGCTTCTCATGCACGCACATTGCTCCATCAGAGGAGAAAGTTTCGAGTGTGTAGTGTATTCCTTTATTTATTAATTCATGACGTCGTCGTGGGCGCCTATCGTATTCGTTGCTCGTTCGCCATTTCCGAGCTTGCAACTTCCCTCTATCTTTAGGTGTCTCTACAAGTGTTCGTTACAACAGGAGCAGTAAATCTTTTACTGATCAATAATTGTTCCACATCTCGGTACTGCTTCTCTTCCCAATCTAGTGTTGCGCTTACGACCTCTCCTCCCCCTCCATCGCGGTCAAATACGAGCCCCGTTGTGATTTCACGGCGTGCTCCTCCCAGCCCCTCACAATGCTTCACTTTATCTTCAAAGGGTTAATCAACGTTCTTCGCTCAAGCACAATCCCTGTATCATTCATCAGTTTAGCAGAACTGTTTTTAACCCTATAACAACATATGTGAAAAACTGCAATGGCGAATTGTGTGCTGCCATAAAGCATCACCGACGTAAGCATAAGTTGTGTTGTGGTAATTAATGTGGAAGTGCGGTTCGTGCACCTCACGGCACATTGAGGGCGGCTGCATTTAGCAACCAAAAAATGGTTATAAAAACGCAGTGGAGAAGAGAACGGGATATTTGAGATCCTCCTAATCTTCCTACGACAAATATTATAGTCAAAGCTCTAAGGCAGCGTTTACAGCTTGCGATGAAAAACTAACGAATTGAAGAAATGCAGAACTGCAGAATGACAAAAAGTTTTAGGTATACTGTGTTTTGCTGCGAATGGAGGGACGTGTGAGGTAGCGAGTGCGCTATGGAGCCAAATCCGTTCTTTGCCAGCTGTTGAAAGAGGTATGCGACCACAATTGGTAGAAAGCGAGTGATACGAACGATGTTACACATTCCTGTCATTTGCTCGCTTCAACAGGTGGAGAACGGGTTTGGCACCGCGCCAAATTCATCGCGGAAACGCCCCTTCGTCCGCAGCGAACAAGGCTACACATAGCCTGAAGAAATGCAGAAATGAAGAATTGCGGAAATTGCGTGTGTACATATATCTGATGCGTATCGTATCTTCTCGTTCAGTCGTCTATCCTCACTTTCGCAAGGTACCCGCAGGGCCTCAGAGCCACCCAAAACACTTCAAATATCAAAAAAAGCTCATCGCAAGACCTTACCTTATGCAATATCCGCATCTGTTTCAGGATTGTACTCTTTCCACTTTCACCAGCACCTGAAAAGGTGACTTCAGAAGAAAAAAAAATGTATAAATCAAATGAAAATAAAACAGGTTGTAAAACTGTCGCATAAATGAGTTCAAGTGCAGCTATCTTTGCATGAGTCATTTTTTTTATATTGGATGCATAAGGTTTATCTAGTATTCATTCCGCGAGGATTTTCCACATACTTCCATGCAAAACGTAGTGACTCAGAAGCTAATAAAAAAGTATATTTGTCACTATCTCTGGAATATCATATATGATATCGAAAAACTGCCTCTAACACCAAATGGGATTCACAACCAACATGTTTGCCAGTGAAGTCTCACGAAGAAATCACCTCGAACCCCGTCATGCGCGAAGTCCTAACGTATACGAAAACAAACCCACGCTAATCTAGTCAAGGTAGGCATTCCACTGCAAAGCACCACGGCATTAAAACCACCACGAATCTTGCTCCTTTTCTATGAACGCCTACGAAAACCTCAGCTTCAGTCTAGGGAAAGAGGTACGGCGGGGTTGATAGAGTGATCTACACCGCGCATTTCGTTCAAAGCCCGTGGAACCAATAGGGATATGATGACGCATCACGATGGGACAAAATCCGAGTACCACCGCGCACGCGATCGATGGCTTACCCATCCTTCCCATAATTGGATCTTCCGGAAACGACCAATCCGTCTGTTTGGGGTTTTTTGTTCCAGAAGCATTTCTGCCCCCGTTCGAGCCTTTTAGCGGCAAAATAAGAGCAGGAAATCCCAATCTTAACGCTGCAAACTTGATCTACTAACGCAGCAAGCAGTGACCAGATAGATGGGCATTTTAAAGGCAGTTGGCACGATGGTTTCCTACTTAGCCTAAAATGCTAGTAGGGCGCTGTATAGTGGGGAAATGGCGAAAGAACGGAGTGAAACGGTCAAAATCCTGCGAAGAAAGAGCCTCCGTTCTCAATGTGTTCAAAATCAATTTTGGACGAGTTTCCCGTAGGCATCTTGCCAATAACCGCTACCGAAGGTACGGCTGCATATGTGTACTCATATATCCATGCAGCATCACGGCCGCTTCATACCAATCCCTTCGCTTCATAATTTGCTTAGCAAATGAATCGATTAGAGCGTCAGGAACGGTCGTCCATTTGTGGGCGGGCGTTTGGGACGTAATGTTGTGGCTTGATAGGGCCCTTATAAGGGCACCTTCCTCGGGGAAACCGCTATGCAGCGCCTGCCCAGGGTCGCGGAATTCTATCCTGCCAGGAGTATTGATCCTAGTCGTCTTGGGGTGTTTATCGTGCCAACTGCCTTAAAGAGCTCAAGGCACGGCTACACAAAGCAATGTAATCGGTACGATTCCATATGCGATTTCCCAGTGACTCCCGCATCACGCTGCACGCCGGTCCCAAAGCGAATCAGCACAGGGGGATGCTCGTGTCAGAATCATGAAAGTGCTTACCCCACCCCTATCTGTATGGGTGTAAAGCGCTACTTGTTAGTCGCTGCATCGCGAGTACAAGCAGGATATTTCCTAGCTGACCGGGCGGACATAGACACAGAGGTAAATCGAGAGACGCAGATGCAGAGAGAGTCGACGCGCCGAAGCATTACTACGTTAGGCGTTCATAGTTTGTGTCAGGGTACGCCCGCGTTTTAGGAATACGCCAGCCGATTAGGGAAGTATAGGTATTCACCCAGCGTACACCAGCATAAGCCAGCGTACAGAAGCAACTACGAGCATATCGATCTAGCGTGCGCCAGCGTACAGCAGCGCGTTGCTGGCGTTGGTGTACGCTGACGCAAAGGAACTCAGCCAAAAAATTTACAGCACAGCACAACCATGCAGAAAAATTCAAGCAGGCACCCAACCGTCGCAAAGTATGAACGCAACCTCAGCGCAGGTACGGCTTCTTGTCGCTGCAGTTTACCGGCTCCTTTTACCAGGTAATAAAAAGAAAGTGTAATGGTCAGAATAGCTCTAAGAATTCGCAGCAGCCATCAATCACACATGCTTTTTTATCTCAAAAATGACTAGCTGGAACGTAAGGTGCCACTTATCGGCAGATAAATTTGCTATTCTCAAACAAAAAAAATATAATGCATGGGTCACTTTCAAGATGAGACTCTGTTGAGTGCTCTTTGAAATCATTACTTTTTGAACTACCCCTTGATACCTGCAAAGTACAGGACCAAAATTCAGAATCATGACCAACTGGTTTCAAAGCCTCTTCATAATGCGCACAAATGAAAACTCAATGCACTGTGTCAAAGGCTGTTCGGAACTCCTGCAATAATGGAACTTGGTTACTCCAGTGACATGTCACTGATTGTAGGACCAAAAAACGCCAAAATACAAAACTCTCCACATCGACCAAGGCGCAGCCATTATTCTTGCAAACGCGAGGGAGTGGACTGAGCACAGCTAGGACAGTCTTTTCCACCAACCGATGTCATCCTAAGCTCGCAGCAACTGGTGAAAATGTTCACGCTCTCTCATACTCACACACCCTTTCGTTTACAGAGATAATGAGTGTACGTGGGTATCGACGATAAGACAGCGTTCTCACTTTGTCACAGTGGAAGAAAAAGGAGTAGGAACAATCACAGAATAAAAGAGTAGAATGGAGCCAAACGGATCGCTGCAGTTTTGAAGAATAGTAGGATGCACGTTAAAGACAATTTCCGCTCAAGTACTACAGGCAGCAGCTGTTCAATTATGAACCAGTAGCAGCTAAGTGGCTTCTCAGTATGGAAGGGAGCGGAAGAAAAAAACTTTGGGATCCTTAACAAAACCTCAGGGGGTCACAGTGCTCATTGTGAAAACTCTTCGGAATTCTGGCAACTTGACAGTCTGCGGCCTCCGTGCAACCCTCTCCCGGCTCACAAAACGTTTCTTCACATTTTGCAGTACAAAATACCACCTGATACTAGAAAAAAGCGCGGGAAACAAAAAATGCCGGAACAGGAAATAGTTTTGAAAATCCAGTGCACGAAATTACGACTACGGTAAGCGTGCACGACGAGCTTTTGCACTGATGCGGTTGCATCATTGCTGAACTTATGCAGCACCAAAAGGTATGCTGCTGTGCGAAGTAGGCTGTTGATGCTCATTCAGTGATAGCAGAACAACTCATGAGCTTGCAAGAGTTCACAAGCCGAAATCCTCTTCACGAGCACATGAAATCGTCCTGCGACGCTGCAGGTCACAGAATGCGTACCCGTAATTCAGCGTATAAGTCGTTGCCTTGCGGCCTCATAAAAATAATGACTACAAGAGTCACGCGTCTGTGGCCGTTTTACCCCGCCCTTTCGAGTAAGGCAGCGTTCATACTTCGCGACAGCAGCGCTTCGGTCGAGGGTTCGACGCGATCGATGAGCATACTTTCGACTGCATCGATGCGTGTCAATGCGCCGACCGGGAGCGCTGGGCCGTCGCGAAGCTCTGCAAGCTGCCTAACGAATGGGGACACACTCCGCTAGAGCGGATCCAGATGCCAAATGCACAGAAGCACTTCGCGTATCGTTTGATCGCGAGAATTCCCCTTCACAGGAGCGGATGGAAATCGATCCGGTCGCTAACGAGTTAAAGACTACGAGAAGTGATGAATGCGTTCCAGTTTGAAATGTAGATTTGTCAAGAGATGAGGGAATAAAGGATAAGAGTGAGCGATGAAGAACTAGATGGAAATCGATCTATCTTACTGCTCTCCCGATTCGCTAAACTGACAACTATACTTCCTTTTGACGGTAGCTCTTCTACTCTCCTATTCCGATTCTCCTCATCTGTCGTTACGTCTTTAATGGGCAATGCTCTACAACTCCATGCCGCCCGGATACCTATACATCCCTTTGACGCGCATTCTCCTAATCTCCAATGACGCCAAGTATCAATGTGGTCTAAATGTGGTCACCGTGCCAATACGCAACAATCTGGAAAAGAAGCGCAGAGCTACGGGTAATGGAATTCTGTTTGTAGTGCATTCATTTAGAGCGGAACAAAAGGAAGGAAATTATTCAAGTTTTCCTTCGTATTAAGATATGATCTGCGCTTATTTCTTGCGACACTCAAGAAAGAGAATCGAAGTCTAATCGGGTCGCACCTAAGAGTAGATTTCATACTTCGCGATTTGATCTCTCTATTCACGTGATTAAAGCGATCAAAAAGTAGTAGTAGAAGTCAAGGCATGAACGCACTTTAATCTTCTTGAAGGCAAAGCCCACCACAGAATGCAAGTAACAGCTACTAGGAACGAAAAGTGCAAGGTATTTGATTAGCGAAGAAAAGCAGCAGAAAAAACAGTCCGAAATGCCCTAAACCGGACTCCATATCACCCCAACTTGCACGTGCATGATGAAGAAAACGCATGTTTGTACGAATTTCCACTCGTCGCTAATGTAGCGATATCAGCTCATTTATCTTATCACCTCACTCTCACCATTTGGAATGGAGGGAATAGCATAGCGGCTACTAGCTAGTAGCTAACTGCCGGTGGGGGTCGCCATGGGCCTAAGATGAGGGTCGCCATGGGCCTAAGGGGCGCCCAAGGGCCTAATCGGTCAGTTCCAGCAGATTTTCTCTCTTTAAAGGTACGCAGCCTCCGCATCGCTTCCGGGTCTGACGCATTTGAGAGGTCATAGCCTTATCTTATCACGGAAAATGCCATTAAACATCCTCCATATTGTGCGGTTCTGATTGTCCAGAGCAAATGAGCAGGTTAAGAAAGCCTTTACGGTGATAATAAGAAATTAAGGGTATTTCTGTTCTTTCAAGGTGAAGTCAAGCATTTCCAGGTACTCATGAATATAATGCAATTTACGATTGACTGCTCGTAAAGGGTGAATGTAAGCGCTTGTCAGCACACGTACTTATGAAAGGAACAGCTGGAGCATTTATTATCTATAGTGCCTGGTTCACTTAAGAACGTGATAGCTAGCGAGCCTAGTTTAGGCCGCAGAGGGAATCAAATTCCTGTGAACCACTGTAAA